TCTCATTTTAAATATAAAATTTAGAATATAATTATAATAATTATTGAGTTCTAACAAAATACTTAATTATCTATATTATATTATAAAACATTTAACAGAAACTCTTAAAATCATTTTTTATGCATGAAATACTATATATTGATGCATATTACTTAAAATTCAATATTACAAATAAATTATGCATAAATACAACTTATTAAAGCTCTATGTTTGAATTCGTGTAACTAACTACAGATAAATGTAAACAAATTGAAGATAAACATCTCATTTTAAAATACAAAAAATCTAAAATATAATTATAATAATTATCAAGTTCTAACAAAATAATTAATTATTATTTTTATAAGAAAATTATATTATTAAACCAAATACAAATTACTTCGTTATTGAACCTAAATCAAATTATAAAAAAAATTGAATTAAAAAATTACACAAAAAATTTGAATTTTAAATAGTTAATTTGATACTAATATCGATATCTTATTGTCAGTTTTTTATGATATCTTCAAATTTATATTTTATTCAAAAATAAAAATATTATCGCTATTTTCAAAATCACATAAGACCATACTATAACATCGACTAGGATAAATAATAAATTGAAATATTAAAATCAAGATGTATCTCGCTGCATTGCGCGAGTAACTTTCTAGTTATATTTACAAACAAATATATTATTAAATCAAAAATAAAATCACTTTGTTATTGAACCTAAATTTAATTATAATAAAAAATTTAATTAAAGGAAATTATATAAAAAATGAGTATTTTTATTTATTTATTTTTTTAATTTCTATGATATCTTTAAATTTATATTTTATTCAAAAAAAAATATTATTGTTTGTTCAAAACCACATAAATTTGTATTATAACATCGAGACAAAAAATAAAATTAAACATTAAAATCGAGATATATCTCGTTGCATTGTGCGAGGATCCTTCTAGTTTTACTCTAACATATTATCTGTATTGTTTAAGGCTTCAACTTCAAAGAATTTTGTAAAACTTTAAACATGAATAGAGAAATATTATAAATTATGAATTTATATAACCAAATATGAATTTTTAAAAACGTTGTATACTACATGATGTTTTTAAATTACTATTACATATAATATGAACAAAAACAAAGTCGATCTTCCTTTGTATATTACAAAGTAAACTACAACTGTTTTTAAGGGGGAAATTTACATGGAATACAACATATTATGAGAATATTCTTCAAAGACTCTATTTGGCGTATACGTAAAGACACCTTCAACATGAATGCTTGATAATAAAAAGTTCAATAAACTTTTTGTTTACAAAGTTATAATATGTTCGTTTTTTGTTCACATAGTTATGATATGTTCTTTGAATTGCATCAGAGACGTAGTGCATTTCCCTAAACGAAGCTTACGTTCATCAAAATAAAAAAACCATTATAAAGTACGATGTGTTCTGACACAATTTACTCTTTTTCAAACGATGTAAAATTACGTGAATTCATGCGTACTACCTTTAAAAATAATGCTTACGTCATGATAAAACGACAACGTCATAGTTTTATTACAAAGAACATTGTTTATATCACATGTACTTGTATTATTCTTTTTTGTCAATTTACAGTGATCAAAATACAGGTTTTCCTTGTAATAAAATAAAAACTTGAGATTCCGTGATAATTTATTAGGAATTTCCTTCGTACTTTTTTCTCGGAACATGAAAATGAGACGGAATAAAAATGTCATAATAAATTACATTGTGTAGGACCATTCATATAGTAAAAATAACATAAAGTTTATACTTAATTACATTTGTGTCCTTGTGGTTTGGTGAAAACCTTGGTTCACCCCTGTGGTTTGATAGAAATTTTGGTTTTGTCCCCGCAGTTCCCGAATTTGTTTTGGATTTGGTCTATAACCCTAACGACCTTTAGATAGGCTATGTTAAGTGACCCCACATGTTAAGCATGTGACAGCAATTTGATAAGTTTACTCTTTTCTTTATTAATTTTTTATAGTACAACCTTGTAATGCAATACGTGCAAAGTCTTTAAGACAATTGCTAGAGTCTATAATCAATAATATTGTTGAGTTTTCCTTCTTTAATATGGTATTGGAGCCCATGGTGCTAAACCCCATTTGCTCTTCATCAATACTTGTAACAACTGCACGCCTCCTGCAAATCAGTTCAAGCAAAAGAACCCCAATAGAGTAAACATCTGATTTTATTGTCAAGTTGCATGTATGGAAATAATGTGGATCCATATACCTAAATGTGCCTTTGGCAAGAGTGCCGACAAGTGTACGTGTCTGGTTCATAGGACCTAACTTGGCCAGCCTAAAGTCGGAATTCCTAGCTGCAAAATTCTTATCCAACAGAATGTTGGAGCTCTTTACATCACGATGTATGA